TATTTTCCTCAGATAAATTCAGATGTGTATAATGGAATACCTTTTCTTGAGTAAACTACACTAATATAGTTCTAATATCTACATGATTATATATTAAGGAAAAAGAAATAAAGAACTGTAATAAGCCTAGTAAATGTTTTTGTTGGTTATCTTACCACTCATGTAGATACTACACATTTCCACAATACACATAAACTTGTATGAGGCAAATTATTTCTTTTGTTCATTATCTAGTTCCTATATTTTTAACTCTTCAGACTTCTCACTTAACATGGTGTATTTATTTCACTTTGCTGCTTTTTGGCACCTCTTATGAAGGTGGTCAAGGGAAATAAAAGGAGGTAAAACTCAATTTTCAGTTTAGTTCTTGAGAGCTCTAGGAAAAATGGGGGAAACATAAATTTAATGAGATAAACTTAAGGCTATTGATTCCTGAACCCCAGATAAATCAGTCGGCCTATATTTTCATTTTAAGCTATAGGTCCAAATTAGTGTAATGTCTTGCATTATTATTAGGTTTAGTGCAAAACTTTATAGTAATACATTTGGAATTTTAGCAACTGGTTACTAAAATCATTTGGGGAAAATTTTGTAATGTGTCAGGACCTTTATTTTTCATCATCACTTTTTGTTTTCTCATTGCATAGGAATTGTGAATTTGTATATCTTAGGAGACAGGATACTTTGTGCAATTTATTGGGGAAAATCAATTTGGAGAGCATGACACTCGCTAAGATAAGGAAGCAATTAAATTATTGTAATATGAAATTAGACACTGCCAGAAAACCTCCTCATCTAATAAGGTAAATGTAGAACATACTTTTAAGAAATAGTAAGATGATTGGGAACTGAAATTTTATCCTAGCCTTTTTGAACAAAGAACATTTCATATTCTGTAATGAACTTTTTTATTTATACACACTACTCATGCATTCTTTCACAGTAAGTTTTAATAGCCTGAGGAAATAGGAAAGCTGTGAGGCAACTCACATTCTTTACTTTTCATAAGGAATAATAAGAAAAAAGGTCAGTAATCCAAATCCAAATGTGTGTACTGTAAATGCTTTAGAATTCACATTTTTCATAAGTTATATTACGAATACAGGAGACTGAATTTTATCTGTTAATAACTTAGTTTTGAGAACAGAATAAAATTTGGAAATTGTGAGAATAGACAAGCTGTTATTCCATTAATAGTGTAAATGTAACATCTAAAGTGTATAAATGTACACCTAAATTGATAATATGTCTTTCAAAAGTTTGGTGATATTCAAAGGTATATCTTGATTAAATTGTCTATGGTTGATAACTTTTAAATAAAGTACAGTACTTTCTGAAAGTGTTTGGCATGTTACACTGCCAAAAATGTTTGTGTTTTGAAACACTAAGTAACCAGTTAATTTCTGATGACTTTATATAGGATTTGATATATATGAGTCAGAATCAATCTGTACTCATTCTGTACATTGTAACTTTAAACACTTATGAAAAGCTGTATCTATTGGTGTATTTTGATTAGTTGGTGTAAGTTTGCATATTTGAATTCTAGTCTTAATTTAGCAAGTCTAAAAGTAGCCATTTTTGTAAGTTCATATGCTATTTTTTAATGTTATTTTGGTTTTTAGTATTTATATAGCATTAATGTTACTAGTAAAAAATGTTTATAGACAAAGTATAGAGCTATTAACTGTTCAAAAGCCTAAATGATAGGCATATTTTGTATTTCATGTTGCACTTGTTCTGTTTCATATTGGACTTTTTACATCCCTTTTTTAGGGAAAAAAAGACACGTCTGAATTCTGTTTAGCATAAAGCTCTGCATTGGAAACTATATAACTGTATCCATATGGTTAGCAAAACATACTTTGCCACCAAAGTAAATGAACTGTAAAATACCTCTGGATATTTGTGCCAATGAACTTTTCTTAGCATATTGGAATTAAAGCAAAAATAATCTTTCAGTATCCTTCATCTAGGATTTATGATAAATGTGTAAATCATGAAAACTTATATTCCTTACGCTAATTTTCCTTTGAAAATATTCAGTTTATAGTGTAGTGTGTTTTGTCCAAATTTTTGAGTGCTTTCTGATTTTACTGGGTAAAAGTTCACCCAGTAATCTTTCAGCAATTAATTGAAGTAATCATTCGAAGTAATCTTGCTTCAGATTCGTTTTGTGATATAAATG